TGTATTATTTCAAGTTGTTAACAATATGAGCTTATACACCCATGACAAAAGTCACCATGGGGTAAAATCTGGTAATTAACAAACAATATTAAACAGGCCTAGATGGTAATTTCATGTGGAGGAGACAAAGCAATACCAACCTCTGGTTAAATAGAATAAATTATAGTAACAGGAAATAGCATTCACTTTGTCAGGCCATTCCAATTTACCTTAATTTAGGGAAATGCGTCAAGGAATTTTAAGTGATGAGCTAACTGAGATCTTAATTATCAGAAAGATAGCCTTGCTAATAGTCCAATTCTCTCTCCTGTAGTTAATATGTTGGATTGATTGTTGGTACCATACTGTAATGACTTTAAGTAACAAGGATATGGTAGCTTTAAGACCTGACCATCAATCAGAGTGGTGTCGCCAAGGAATACCTGAATCCATCCTTAAAAATACTACATTGCACCTTGTTAACATGTCTAGTACCACCAGGAAAATAATTTTGTTGTTGTCCTTGGCTTGTCCCCTATTTCGCCATGACCTCCATCTCTCTCTCTCTCTCTCTCTCTCTCTCTCTCTCTCTCTCTCTCTCTCCTTGTGTGTGTGTGTGTGTGTGTGTGTGTGTGTGTGTGTAACCTTGTTTTCTAGATCCTGTGATTCTTTTTTTTTCTTTTTGGCTGCCATGGTACTCCCAGATCAATGAACTTCCTATAAGGTAGCCTATTTCCATCTCAACAGGCTTTGCTCCTTCAATAACAGCTTTAAGGATGAAGATTTGGTCTATAGAGTTAGATCAACCTCGATCAGAATCATAGCCTTGCTACTCATATTGTGTAAGCTTTTGAACCTATTGGAGCCTCAATTTCTAACCTGTAAGTAACAATGCTTACCTCACAGAATTGTTGAGAGAATTAAGGGTCCACACAATTATAAACTAGATAGTATAATGCCTGGAACAGAGAAATTCAATGAATGTCACTGTCCTTTAGATCTTGTCCATTCCTAGATTTGCCAAACATCATTCTTGGTCTAACTGAAAAATCCCTGTTAGATCTTACCTAGCTGTTAATTCAACTGCTCAAACCACAAAGCATCAGAATGAAACTTGTTAGTGATGGTAAATTCAGACTCATAGAATATATGTACAGTTCTACCAGGACAATTCTAAGATTAGTATGGATGTACTCAGCAGTTTTTTTTTTAATACCTTTCTAGTTTTAAGTAAAATTAAAAGAGCATTTTGCTCAAATACAGTTCAGTGGATAATAGGCATAATTTTATTTTACTCATGTTCACATAGAATAGTAGTGTACTGGGTTAGCCAAAAAGTTCCTTCGGTTTTTAAATAAAAATAAAACACATTTTTCATTTTCACCAAGAATGTTATTGAAGAACGTATTCACCGTTTTGTTCCACTACCTTCTGCCATTTTTCTTCATAATTCCATCTTCCCAAAACTTTTAAAATGAGTTTATTTATTTATTTGCGGTACGCAGGCCTCTCACTGTGCTCCCGTTGCGGAGCACAGGCTCTGGACTCGCAGGCTCAGCAGCCATGGCTCATGGGCCCAGCCGCTTCGCGGCATGTGGGATCCTCCCGAACCAGGGCACGAACCCGTGTCCCCTGCATCGGCAGGTGGACTCTCAACCACTGCGCCACCAGGGAAGTCCTCTCAAAACTTTATCTTTTTGAGCAAAGAACTGTTCCTGGTGCCTTTTACAGTCTTCCAGGGCGTTGAATTTTTTTGCCTTAAGAGAATTTTGTAAAGACTGAAATAAATGGAAATCTGAAGGGTCAATGTCTGGTGAATACGGCAGATGAATCAGAACTTCCCAGCCAAGCTGTAACAGTTTTTGCCTGGTCATCAAAGAAACATGCGGTCTTGTGTTATCCTGCTGGAAGATTATGCATTTTCTGTTGACTAATTCCGGACACTTTTTGTCAAGTGCTGCTTTCAGTTGGTCTAATTGGGAGCAGTACTTGTTGGAATTAATCGTTTGGTTTTCTGGAAGGAGCTCATAATAAGGCCTCCCTTCCAATCCCACCATATATCACCTTCTTTGGATGAAAACCAGCGTTTGGTGTGGTTGGTGGTGGTTCATTTCACTTGCCCCACAATCTCTTCCATTCCACATTATTGTACAGTATCCACTTTTCATCATCTGTCACAATTTGTTTTAAGAATGGAAGTTTTTGTTAGTTTCAGTAGAGAATCGCATGCAGAAATACTGTCAAGAAGGTTTTTTTCCGCTAACTTATGTGGAACACAAACATCAAAGCGATTAACATAACCAAGCTGGTGCAAATGATTTTCAACGCTTGATTTGGATATTTTGAGTCTGTCGGCTATCTCCTGCGTGGTATAACATTGACAGTTCACAACTACTGTCTCAGTTTGATCGCTATCATCTTCAACTGGTCTACCTGACCATGGAGCATTGTCCAACGAGCAATCTCCAGCACATAACTTCACAAACCACTTTCGACACGTTTGATCAGTCACAGCACCATACACTGCACTAATCTTTTTTTTGCATTTCAGTTGTGCTTTTACCTTTCTTGAAATAATAAAGCATAATATGCTGAAAATGTTGGTTTTTTCCTTCCATCTTCAATATTAGATGGCTACACAAAAATTCACCAATTTTGATAAGTTTTTTTTTAATGCATGGTAATTTGACAGCTGTCACAATACAATCTAACAAAATTGTTTCAAATGAAGTGAAAGACAACTAAGGGCTACTAGAGCCATCTTACGGAAGAAAATGAACAAACTTTTTTGGCCAACCCAAGTTTCCATAGGGCTACAAGGCAAAAGGGGCAATACTCTGGAAAACTGATAGGCTGTTAGGAGGCTTCAGAATATGCATTCAAATAGTGAAGAAGCCAACATACAAAATCTGCCCCTTCAAATTAAAAGTTAAGAGATCTTGTCAGTCCTCCAGAGATCACCAACTTACAAATGACTAAACTCAGGAGAGAAAGAAAATATTAACATAATTTATTGCATAAATATTACCATAATTTATGACAATTCATTATTACCTTCTAGTGAAGAATACAATTGACAAAAGAGCTAGACCTGCAAGTCCTTGAAGCTGGGAACTTCTTTCTGCTATATGAAAACTTATTATGATCTGAAAGCTATTGTTGAACTTGGGGTAGTACAGAATTAACTATTCTGTAAGATTCCAGTGTTAAATGGCAACATGTTAAGAAAGCCTCTTGCATCCATCTTCATCACAGGGAAATATCAGCTTCCAGGATCTGACTGGCCAAATTTATTGGCTTGGACTCCCTCTTCCCATAATACCACTTAGATTAGCATTAAACATATTTGCATCTCCAACTTTCCCTTGTCTATGAATTCATGTGGACCAACTCCTCCTTTCTGAATGCCATGAACTTTCTTCAGATATGTTAACATCTCTGATTAGTTTACAGCCTATGCTATCTACCTGGAAGCCATCCAGCTTTTCAAGATACATTTGCTCAATACTATTATTATCCATTACATATTGACTTAGAGTTTAATTCTCAAGGGCTTATTTTCATGTTCTTAGGGGAGAACCTCAGGAACCCTCATTTATAAACTACAGTTTGATGATGTCTCTACATTAACAATATGGAGATTTATTACTATTAACTAGAAGCTTTGTTCACTGTATTTCAGAAGGCATCCTTAGTAAGACATAGGAACAGCAGAAATTTGCTTTACATTTTATTACCTCTGCACAACAACCTCAATCTCCAAACATGAGAAGATATTTGACCTCTACGATTAGTCATTGGGCTTTAAAAGATTTTTGTTTTCTTTTATGACATTCTTCACTCCATGAATGCCAATTTGTGCACATGAAGGTATAAGACTTAGAACAAAAAGGTTCCAACAAGATGAGTCACACTCTAAGTTAACAGGTCATATCAAAACATGGGGAAAGTCTATATGTGAATAATTACCATGAGACAAAGAAGTTTGTGGGAAAAAAAGTCAAAGTCAACTCAACATTAAATTGTTGACTTAAATTGGACATTAAATTTCTCATATAAAGATCCTTCTGACAGATTGGAAGAAATGTTGGAAAATACATTTGTTTCAGTAGAAATGTTTGTGCAGGTCTAGAATTGCAGATTAGTAACAGAATAGCTTACAAATTTAGATAGAAGACTAATGTTCTTTTAGAAAGTAAGCTTCCCAAATGTAGGGGCCATGATAAATAATTTGGTGGAGGGGGTGCATAAAATGAGAAAAACATGCTTAAGCTTTGTTTTGTAGGTACAGGCTATTCAGTTCCTGGGCCAGTGTTGTGCATAGAGACAAGTGCTAATCTAAGCTTTTAAAATTAATTTATATTCAAAAGAAATTATCCTATACTTTCCTAGAATGTGACCCTCTTTGTGTTATTTAATATATGTTACCTATTTAAATGATGGAGAATGTATTTCCAAGGTGGTAAGGAATGAAGAGGAGGTGTAAAGCTGTCTTACACATAGTACTGTGTCTGATTTAGTACCATAAATTTTAGTTTCTCTGGAGAAGGCTGAATCCAAGTGACTGTACAAGAAACAGGACACAACACACAATTGCTGACCTCTAGGATCTTGCCTTTTATGCAGTATTCAAAAGAATATGCATTAAATATAGTTCCTTTTACTTTTCACAAAAGGCATAGTTGGGCCTGCACCAAAATGAAACCATTGCTTCAGTATCATATTAATATTGTTAGTAGTCTAAAAGATCACACTGTATCTGTAAAAAAGAAAATCAGTATTAAAGTTATCCTCTTCACTACTCTGTGTAAAGACTGCAATGATTTTTCTTTTAGAATCCCAAATCTAGAGAAAGACTAAAGTCTATAATGAGTAGCAAACAAAACTGATTTATTATGTATGGATAGTGTTAGGTGTGGGCGTGTGATGGGAATTCTACAGTCTTAAAAAGAAATTAAATTCAGAGTGTTTTTGAGAAATTGATTTCTTGTTATGAGGAGAAATGCTTTATCAATACTCACCTGCCACCATCCATTCTCATGTCCAAGGGGCCATCCTTCCGAAGGGAAAAACCTCTTTCAGGGGCATCAAGTTGCATGGAGGAACACCCAAGATCCAAAAGAACTCCATCTAAAGTCCCTGGTTGCACTCCAGCTTTCATTAGTAAGGCTTCTGCCTGGCTGAACTGGCCCAGGATGGCTCGGATCTGTTTACTGGGGATAAACCCAGGAGATGGAAAAAACACTTATGTCATATTAAAGTCTTTCTTAAGGTCTAGGATCAATGAAAGGGAGCACATTCTATTATTAGCTTATTTAACCAATATATGTTTACTAAGTGCCAACCACATGCTTTGTACTATATAAGGACATACAGATATGGAAACTCTATATCTTTGGTTTCAACACCAGAGGTGGTTTGACATAATTTTTTTTTTTTTTTTTTGCGGTACGCAGGCCTCTCACTGTTGTGGCCTCTCCCGTTGCGGAGCACAGGCTCTGGACACGCAGGCTCAGCGGCTATGGCTCACGGGCCCAGCCGCTCTGTGGCATGTGGGATCTTCCCGGACCGGGGCACGAACCCACGTGCCCTGCATCGGCAGGCGGACTCTCAACCACTGCACCACCAGGGAAGCCCGGTTTGACATAATTTTATTCTTGCTAATAAACACAATTTATTTTATACTTTGTGAAGGTATATAAGTTTATGAATTAGAAAAATTTCCTGGTCAGACCCGTCCTTTTATTTATTTTTTTCTGAAAAAAAAATTCATATATCTCTGGGCTGGGAAAAGAAACATATGCCATTCTATCAAAAGAATAAACACCTGTGCACTGTTGATGGGAGTGTAAACTGGTATAGCCACTATGGAAAACAGTATAGCGGTTCTTCAAAAAATTAAAAATAGAACTACCATATCATCTAGCAATTCCTCTTCTGGGAATATATCCAAAAGAAATAAAAACACTATGTTGAAGCAATATCAGCACACTCATGTTCATAACAGCATTATTTACAACAGTCAAGACATGAAAACAACCTAAGTGTCTGTCAATGGATGAATGGATAAAGAACTTAAGATGTGTATATATATATATTATTCAGCCATAAAAAAGAAGAAAATCTTGCCATTTGTGACAACATGGATGGACCCTGAGAGCATTATGCTAAGTCAGACAGAGAAAGACAAATACTGTATGATCTCATTTATATGTGAAATCTTGAGATTGAAAGAGAGAGAGAGAGAGAGGGGGAGGGAGAGAGAGAGAGAGCAAGAGAGAGAGCAAGAGAGAGAGAGAGAGAGAGAGAGAGAAAACCATGCTTGTAAAAAAAGAGATGAGATTTGTGGTTACCGGAGGTGGGGGATGAGGTAAGGGGAATTGAATGAAGGTGGTCAAAAGGTACAAACTTCCAGACAAATAAGACAAATAAGTACTAGGGGTGTAATGTACAACACGATGACTATAGTTAACACTACTGTGTGGTATTTATGAAAGTTGTTAAGAGAATAAATCCTAAGAGCTCTCATCACAAGGAAAATAATCCCTTTCTCTTTTGTGTTTATATGAGATGATGGCTGTTAACTAAACATTGTTGTAATCATTTCATAATATATGTAAGTCAAATCATTATGCTGGACACAAACTTGTACAGTGTTATATGTCAATTATTATCTCAATAAAACTGGAAAAAAATTTAACTTTTAACTAGTAAACCAATTTAAATATCTTTTTTCTTTCTGTTTTATTACTTATTATATGTCAAAACATCTTCAAGCCAACCATTTTAGCTTTCTCCATATTCTTCACATAATTCAGGATAGGGGTGCTCTGCAGCTGCACACTTGAAGAATGAAACTATGCCTAAAATAAACGTCTTCTTACAGAAGCAATGTTTTAGCTCTCAGCAGGGATTCCGAAGTGAATGGAGCATTCAGAATTAACACAGGCAAGGAGTTGGGATCACCTTACAGCTATATTAATTCTCCTTCCTACACAAAGTGAGATGCTGCCTTCAGGGTTCTTCAGAAGCCCTAGGGCAACTGGCATGCATTTTGGAAGGGGAATGAGAAGAGAAAAATTGGGCAACACTCTAAGACCTCATTCCCTCCATCTACAGGTGTATGGAGTGAGGGTGGATTTCAACAGTGTTGGGGAATTCATATCTATGATATTTACTTATGTGTTATGTTGTTTAAGGAGAATTTCACAGCTCATTGGTAATTTTTTCTCAAATTCCAGTGGTGAAAGTGATTTTCAGATTCACTCACCAAATATTCACTAAATATCTGCTATGTGTCAGGCATTATGCTATTCTAAGGTATAAACAGATTAATAAATCATGGCTTTCTGAGCTTTGAGCTGAGAGAAAGGTATATAAATAAACTGCTTGCAAAACAATCTCATGAGTGCTAATAGTAGAGAGACAAATTGCTATGTCTGTATTTGGAAAATATAAAATGAATATTAATACTAGCATTGAAAACAGAAATAGTAGAATCTTGGGATTTGAAGGCAACTCACAAATCATTTGTTTCAATTATTTAATTGATGTTTGAATCTTTTCCCTTTCCACCATCACTGCTGGGGGGCAGGGTGGGGAGGAGACTCATTGTTTTAATCATATCTCATTCACCCCATTGGTGAGGAAGGGATTCCCATTCTAAAATTATGGAAATGGTCAAGTGAACACACAGCACACGACACTGGTCAGATGAGATTGACAGGAGTTTATTAATCACATCCACTCACAGCCCAGGGGAGGAGGACACCGAATGCCATGCATGGCTACATGGGTGCTGCACTCGGGAACAGAGTGGACCGACAGGCTGTGAGAAGCAGATTTTATGGTATCAGTAGGGTAGGGTGCCGCATGCCCAAGAAAGGATGTGTTGGCTTGTTTGAATAATTCCACGGGCTGGCAGGGAACTGAAACCTGCTACTCAGGGATAAGCAGGTATTATGCCTGATCCTTTTGATAAGGAGTGTTGTTTGGCTAGGAACCTTCTCTGTGGAAGCACAGTGGGGAAGAAAAGTTGTGGTTAGGCCATTTAAGATTCTTCCAGCTTTCCCTAAATGTCAAGAACACATAATACTGGGCTTAAATTTTAGGCCTTACCTCACAGTCATTTAGCCCGTGTTTGAACATTCCCAGTAAATAAAAACTCACTATTGGTTTTTTAAATTTTTTTTTAGTCAGTTGTTTTTTAGTGAAGTTGCTGGCTGTTTCCTCACTATTTCTATAACTTTTGTTCCAGGTATCAGTCCATGGAAAACAATTAAAAACCCATGGCAGCCTGTTACATATCTATTGTTAGTTATTGTAAGCGATACTTGTTGGCTACCTCTTAGTTGCCAGTCTCTTTTTTCCAACAGGACGTCAAAATTTCAGCCTTGTATCTTGGGAGAGAATGATCATATCCATGATTGTTTATGTCACCTTGGCTTGGCAAAAGTACCCAGTTATTTAATCAAACAATGATCTAGGTATTGCTGTGAAGGTTTTTTTAGATGTGGTTACCATTACAGTCAGTTCCCTGTAAGTAAAGGATATTACCTTCCATAATGTGGGTGTGTGTCATCTGATCAGATGAAAGGCCTTAAGAGCAAAAAATGAGGTTCCCCAGAGGAAAATGAAATTCAATCTCAAGACTATAGTATCATCTCCTATCATAGTTTCCAGTCTGCTGGCCTGCCCTACCATTTCAGACTTGCCAGTCCCCACAATGTGAGCCAATTCCTTGCGATAAATCTCTCTCTCTCTCTCTCTCTCTCTCTATATATATATATATATATGATGCGTATGTGTGTATATGTATGTATATCTCCTACTGGTTCTGTTTCTCCTGAGAATTCTATCCTAAAGGATATAATATCTCTGCTCAAGAGGTAGATTTCTGATTAGCTAAGCTAAGCCACCACGGCCCCTATAATTTGTTCTAAGATTGGCATGTGTCACACCTCTGGCCAATAAGATACAAGAGATATTTCCTAGGGACTTGGGGAAAGAAAATTCTTTTCTTCCATTGAGCCATGGGAAGAAAAATGTTTTTCAGACTCTCACTTGATATGAAAAAGCACATAGCTCTGATCATTGCCAGCAGATATCTTGGCCCAAAGAAGGGAGAGGGTAGCAGCCAATTTGGCCAAAACTCTACAAAGCATAGAGGAAGATTAACCATGCCATTAGATTGAACCTCACCTAAAATCCAACTTGTCTCTGAACTTTTGAGTTATATGAGCTCATAAATTACCTTTGTTATTTAAAACCAGTTTGAGTTGTTTTTTTTTTACTTGCAATGGAAAACATAACTATTATAGCTATCATGCTTCTCAGGTGTTCATTTCTCTAAATCATACAACTCTTGTTTCTTCTGCTATTCTCTATGCAAAAAGTCTTTCACCATGCAAGATGCTCTTTTCTCAATGTGTCCCAGTTTGCCTATGTCCCTAGATCTGAACTCCATAATGATCAGCACAGAATAAAGTAAATTCTTTCCTCTTTTGTTCTAGTTATTATATTAATACAGCTCAAGATCAAAAGTTTTAGAATTTGTTTCACACTGTTGACTTATACTATCTAATACCATTGTACACCACTGCTAAAGCCTGTTTCCTCCACACTGTGCTTGTGCAGTTTTGTTTTGTTAATTATTGTAGATCTAGTACAATCTCTAACCTACATATTTTCTACAACCCTTTAGGATCCAGGTATTATCTTGAACCATAGAAATCTTCTTTACACTGCAGCAAAAGCCTCAAACAAATCACTATTGCCCAGTCTTAATTCCTTAGCATTAGAGCTATATACTGCTTAAAGCTAATAATATAATTGTAAAATAAAAATAATATCTTATAGGAGATGTTTGCATTCTTGGACACCCTCAAACATACCTGTTTAACACTAATATTCAGATAGTTTTAGGCATGACAAAGAGTAAGTAACAAAAATATAATCCTCACCATAATCATTTACAAGTATGAGAATATCATACGGGGAAAATAAAGTAACCATGAGACAACACCACAAAGTAAATCATGTGTTTAAGGCAGAGTCTTCTGATGCTATATCAGTTATAGAATTAGATTATTATATCAGTTTCTAGAATTAGAATATTCTCATAGTAAAAAAAAAAAACATCTACAAGTATACCAACAAACTGTTGAAAACTTAGCCTTAACTTCAGACCCTGGGGCATTATTTCACATATGCA